TAATTTACAGAACTACCCATATGTTGCGAAAGTGATCCATGTCAAGATGATTTCTCGTCGATGCATGAGAAGAGGAAGTGCGCTTCTTCTGCCATGCCGCAGATTTTCCACGACGTCCCAAGCACCCCTATCTGACAAAAGAGCCAGCAGCCTTCTTGTAGTAGCATCCCAGGTTGTTGCAGGTCACCTGACACTGGTTTGCAGCACGACACAATCTTTCGGGCAAAGCCGGTTTCACTGCGAGATAGTGAGGATCCGGCAGCTGCTAGGCTCGTGCCACCTCGGCAGCAAGGCGGGTGACCCTGAACCGCCCAATGCTGGACATGCCACGGGTCTGTCGTGACTGAACAGCTCTGAGGCCAAATCTTTCAGCCTGGTTTGCTATAAGAACGGCTTCCGCATACTTGAACTGCTCGAACGCCTGAAGCAAGCTCGCAACTGCTCGGTGCACCGGAATCACTATCCAGCACATCTTCCCACCCGAATCTGGGGGTTGCACAGCTTTGGACTGTCCTTTTCGCAACGCTTCCATGCCATCGCGATTGCAGGATAAAACCTGGCCCATGCAAGCCCTCAGAATTCTCCGAATACTCGACAACAGAGCCCCAACTTACCAAAACATAATAGGTTCAGTAGATACAAGGCAACCATTGCAGGGAAGATGGTGGAAAGTGCACACAACCTGGGGCAGCGGCTAGTGTGTGGAAGTCCTGCAGCAAGCCCCAAATAACATTCAGGCTCGGCTTTTAAAATTTTGGGTAGCTCACGATTGGAAGATGGGAGAAGGTCAGCTGGCACAGGTTTTATTTCCTGCCCGTCCCACTCGCTCAGCACGAATACCACAGTCGCCGGGGCGTATCGTTGCTTGCTGTATCGATTACACTGTTACACTGAGCTCTCAAGCCTGTATGTACGTGCCACACGACACAAACCATTACATGCCCACAGCAACAGCACAAGAATTACGAGACGAACAGCGCAGCTCCAGTCGGGTTAACGATGACCGTCAAAGCTGGGGAGCGAGTATTTTTATTGTCTAT